AAATGGCGACGCCAGGACTGCTGGGTGCGCTCAAGGACGGCGGCGGCTTCGTCCTTGCGACTGGCATCACGCTAGCGATCGCCCTCCCGACGGACCTTCTGCTGTACGCGGCCGTGGCCATGGGCCTCAACTGGGCGGCGTCGCTCTTCCACGCGATTCCGTGCCAGACGGAAAAGTTCTTTGACCTCTTCGGCGCCACGACCTTTGCCTCGCTCTCGATTCTGGCGGCGGCCATCCACTTGGCCAACGAGCGCGACGCCAACGCGTACTGGCGGTCGCTCACGCTCTCGGTCGTCTCGCTGCTCTGGGCGCTGCGCCTTGGCTCGTTCCTCTTTCTGCGCATCCACGGCGCCGGCTCGGACAACCGGTTCGACGACATTCGCAACGCGCCGCTCAAGTTTTTCTCGGTCTGGACATTGCAGGGTCTCTGGGCGTTTGCAACGATGCTGCCGGTGCTGTTACTGCACACGCACGCCGGGCCGCAAGTCGGCGTGTGTGCCGCCGACATCATTGGTACGCGGTCTCTCTCTACTATCGTGTCGTATCTTATACCCCGTAGGTTTGGCGCTCTGGCTCATCGGCTTTACCACGGAAGTCGTCGCGGATGCTCAAAAGACGGCGTTCAAGAAGGACCCAGCGAACCGCAACGCGTTTATTAACGTCGGTCTCTGGTACTACAGTCGCCATCCCAACTACTTCGGCGAAATCCTGCTCTGGATCGGCCTCACGGTTGTCTCGGCGGCCCAGCTGACAACACCCGGATACATTGTCGTCGCGTGCTTCTCGCCGGCGCTTGTGGCCACGCTCCTCGTCTTTGTGAGTGGCATCCCGATCCTCGAAGCCAAGGCGGATGCAAAGTGGGGCGCCGAGCCGTCGTACCAGCAGTACAAGCAGCGCACGAGCATCCTCATTCCGTGGTTTACCACGTCGCACTCGCACCTCGAAGTACGTAGTCCTGCGTAATGCGATGCGCTATTTACATGTTTTTTATTCGCCATTGACAGCGTCGTCCTGGCTGTAGTAACGATGCGGTACGCGCCCCGCTGCTGTGAGCCTCTATGCGCAATGGCCGAGGCTGGAGGGATCTTGTTAAGTGGCTTGCAACATGAAAGTTGATGATCTTGCACGGTCCAGCGAGGCGGTCGCCAAGGGGAAAACAACTGCCCGTCGCGACGTTCAAATGAGGGCGTCGGTTGATCGGGTGCTGGCTATGGAGACATCGAGATGATCCTTGTTACGACGTGGTGTCATCATCCGCAATAGAAAGCTGGTTGATGTCGGCCGCGAGGGCTGGTTTCGCGCTCGGTCCATCCGATTGATACATTGATACCTTGCCACATCGGCAAGCGACGATACGTGCATCGAGAGTACGAGACAGTGTTTTGCTGCAAAACTAACCGACACGGATGCATCGCACGTCCAGCGTTGGCGTGTGCTACCGACTACTGCATGAGCCTGCTGCATGCAGGACGTGTCCCGGATGACGTCGTCCAGTCTGTGATAAAAGACAGATAACCATGTTAGTGTAGTTGGTCTACACAACTGACGGGCAAACTTGTGGATCGTCACTTGGACAAGGGGCGAGGACAATAATGTCGACGGCATTGGCGTCGAGCGAGCGCAGTAACATCATCACAACGGCGAGCGTCGACGCTGCTTTCGCCGTGCGGGTTGGCACGGTCGCGTCCATGCTCGTCTCCGCTTGCTCGATCGCGTCCATGCGACGCTCGAGCGAGGTCCGCAAGAACGTTGTCGACATGAAGGAGGTCGAGGTGCAGAAAACGGTGCCACTCGCGTCCGGCACAGATCGCCGAGGTCGGTCGGCTCTTCGTAGCAAGAAAGAAGCCGCACCGACCGACTCAGCGTCGTCGTCATCAACGACGATCTTTGTCCATGCGATCCCGGCGCTGGACGCCATCTCGGACCGCTACACGTAGGTCCTAGTTCTGGATCGGCAGGCTCTCGTTAGACCTGAGAGGGATTCATGTATCGACATGGAGCGATCTGGCGACGCCGGACGCGCTGGCGGCCAAACAACAAAACCACGACGGCAA